GGAGGAACATTCATCTCTGAGACTTTCCAACCTGGTACCATCTCCCCGCTCTGCTGCTTCATCCTGGCTTCTGCTTATCGGTGTGTCACTCAGGAATGCAGGCTTCATCCTTAGCATTCCAGGTCTTGCAGTCCGAAGGGTTTTTACTCAGGCCTGGATCAGCTCATGGGAAAGGCAGAGGCAGGGGCTGTCTGAGGTTTCAAAACCACACACAAGATCAATGCAACAACAGCAACAAAAAACCCTTGGTAGAGGTTCCAGTAAAGGTCTGTATATTTGGCATTCCTTCTGCCTTGCTACAAGCCTCACATTCAAAGGCATAAGGAGGAATTTTGGCACTCTCAGTAGAGAGACCTGAGAGAAGGTTTGGGAGGGGGTACCACTGAGTGCCAGGGAGTCTCGTGGGGTTGCAGGGGCAAGCACTGGAGAGCCTTATGGCATATGGGCTGCATGTCATGGACTCCTTGGGGGCTTTCCTTCTGGCAAACCTAAAAAATTGGCACCCAGGGCTCATGCCTTCTTTGCAATCCCCCTTACCCCCATAGTTATGCACCTACTCACTGTGGAGTTGAGGTAAGGAGAAAAATCAATAGTAATTTAAAGAAATGGTGTCATCTGGGGACGTGTGAAAGTAGAGGGAACAGCTACACGCAGAGGGATTCACTGCCTGTTTACAACAGATTGTAATGCATCTGCTTCAAAAATGGAGTGGGGTGAGGGCAATCATTCCCTTGAAGCCTGCAGCATTATTACTGCTGTGGGTTTTTATAGATATACATGTAGTCAGCTCCAGGCTATGATGATCACTGTTGTGCTGGGAGCAGCAGCACCACATGGGAACACATGGCACTTGCCCTAGTGAGATGACATCTGAAGTGCAGACAGAAGGCAGAGGGGGAAAAAATAATCTAAGACCTGCACCAGCCAGGATACCCAGCCCTTTGTAGGCCATGCTCTCAAAACTAGAGCCAAGACAGATACTGTGCACCTCACCATGCCTGCTGAAGTTTTTGGGGCTGGCAAGTGCTTTGCGCTTTTCAGGATTAGGTCCATGGTTGGCCAAATTCTATCCAACTTCCAGCTTCATCAAAGTTGATTGGCCAGATGAAAACAGAAGGCATTGCCAGATTAACACAGTGGCTCCCTGAGCCCAATCGTTGAACCATTTTTTACCTCCTACATTTTTCACCTGCCTGGACCACTAGAATTAAATCTATGGGGCTGAATGAATTAAAAGTCAGGGCAGAGCTTGGCTTGCAGAGCTGGGCTGAGCTCTGTCTCTTTTCAGAGGTTAAAAAAAATGCTATAATAATTAGCCCACTTTCTCATGAAGAGTCATTGTCTGTAAAAACCTGGCTAACAACAGAAGATGCTCCACTGATACTTAATAGCAAAGTGCAGCTTCCTGTCTAGCAAGGATCTTAATAGGGTGTTGGAGGTGAAGACAGTCCAAAAAAAATTAGCATTTAGAGCTGGAAAGTTGTTTTTTCCTGGGCAATGGTCTAACTCCATTCCATCCCCACTGATGCCAATGGCCAATAGTGAGAGCTTTGGCATGGTCATTTTATAGGGTTGCCAACCCTCCAGGATTACCCCGGAGTCTCCAGGAATTCAAAATAAATCTCCAGGAGACTGCTGAGAGTCACCTGGGAGATAAATGATAGGGCATTCATTAAAGTAAATATTAAATGCTGAATCTGATTTATATAGTTGTCCAGTGGGTTTTTAAAATGTGCATTTGCCTTCCTGATATAATGTCATTAATGTCATAACATCATGTGATGAAACCTCCCAGAATAGATGCAAAGACAGTTGGCATCCCTTTCATTTTATGAACTATTTGAGCAGGAGAAGGTCATCTGAAGCCACCTATTTCTGGTCATTCAGTAAAACTGGGCCTAGTAAACACACTCACAAATACTCATGTGAGCAGCTCCTGTACACTGAGGGTGGCTGTTCTGTGGCATAAGGCCCAATTTCAGAAAATCATTTGCCTTGCTAAAACAAACTACAGAGCAAGCTACATCCCTAAACCACAAGGGAACAACACATACCTCTTGTTTTACCTCCTAAAAAAACACAAAGCTCCAGAAAGCCCCATTAAGAGACCATACCTTGTTCTCTGAGTGTTCTGGTGTTTTTCAAGGCCCCGCTTCCCCAATAGCAAATGACATGGGCAAGAGATAATAAATGTCATAGTAGGCAAAGATAAATCCCATGTGCACATGTTTTCAAGGTCTTTAGGAAAGCACAACCTTAATCCCTGTATTATCGCTGAGGTGAAGAGGCCTGCCCAACACCAATGTATTTGTGCTGTCCAGAGAGAGTGAAGTTTCCAGACAGAACACAATCAATGCTCTTGTAGCCCAGGTACACCCAGGGGGGTGCCTTGGCCTCCAATGATGGTGGTGGTGGTCAGGCAGGGTGCTGAGGAGGGGGTCAGCTACTAGAGTGGCTTCCTCCCCTCTCTATAGAGCTAGGCTGAAAACAAGTACTTAACTATGTACCATTTATTACAAGAATAAATACAGAAACTTAATATAAAACAGAATATTTACAAGACTTATATAAAATATAATACTATATATAATATTCCACAATTCACATATAGTACCAAATATGAACCAAATAACTTACACAACACAATTAACACATAGGGATATTAATCTATATAACCCAAGTAAATTAACCATAATATTTCTTTAAACCTTCACAAATAACAATACCAATATACACATTGAGACATTAAAACACATAACCCATATAACCCCCCTTAAACAATACCCCTAGCCATATAGCTGTTAACACAACAACCCCAAAATAGGGAGTGCACTCAGCACCTCCCCGAGGGGTTTCCCTGAAGCGCCTCCCCTTTAGGGCCCTGGGACATGGATGCGCCCCTCCAAAAATGGAGGGTGGAGGTAGCAGACCCTCCTCACCCGGGTTAGCCTCCCCTGCGGGGCCCACTTCCCCAGTAACTCATGTTTCCTCTCTGGAGAAGTCAAGGCTCATCCCCTGTTGGCCAATCCCAAACGAGCCTCTCCCCAGTGGCACCTTCAGCTCTCCTTGATTGCCCAGTGCCCTGCACTGGGCACCCAGGGCTCGCTCACTCTCTCTCGTGGGAGCCAAGCCCTTGCAGGCTCTGACTCCCCGGTCTCATACCAGGGGTTCTCCCATTTCCCGGGCCCTGCTCTGGGCACCGGGGCTCTTTTAGTTAAAAGTGGAGCTGCACTGCAGGGCTCCATCACTCGGCCTAGGGCCAGGGCTAACATAAGCAGCCACAAGCTGCTTCCAAGGCAGTTCTCCATGCACTGACCTGCGCACTGGGTGAGACCTGAGCAACCTTAAGCTGTTCCCAGGGCCAGCTCTCCGTGTGCCGATCTGCACATCAACTGCCCAGCCACTTGCTGGGTTTGCAGGTTCAAGCCGCCTCAAGCAGCATCTAGAGCCTGATCCCCGTGCACCAATTTGCTCACCGCTGAAGCTCAAGCAGGGTCCCAAGGGCTGCTGTCTCTGGAGCTCCTCTCTCCTCCCCGTCCCTCATCATCTCTCCCCAGCCTGCTGATCACACTCCCCTTTTATACTCTTCAGGGGCTTCACCCCCAAAGTTCTCCGGACCTGGTTGGTACAGTTCCGATTCAGGTCCAGCTGCTCCTTGCCCCCTCCCTTTGGAAAAAAGGCGGGACATTGCTTCCCTTGTGCTACCTCTGGATTGGTGGGCAGGCTTCACCAATCAAACAGCAGACCCTTGATCCTGGGACTCAACCCAAGTTCCAAAAAGGTAAGCCTGCTACACTCTTGTTATCCATTGTTTTCCAGTGGCAACTAAAGGGCCAAGGGATTTTCTTCATGCTTTCACTTGAAGCAGTTCTATTAGCTTCTTTCCTTCCTAGCATTATATTTTCTTATGAGATCTTCACCTCTCTCCCTCTTACTTTTACTATTGGTATGGCAGTAGTGCCTAATGATCCTAGCTAAGATCAGGGCCCTGTTGTGCCTGGTGTTTTGCAGACATGGAGTCCCCTGTCTCACAGTCAAGGCAGATCAGGAGTGTCAAACCTTTGGCCCATGGTCTGGATTCAGCTCATGGAGCTGTTTTACCCAGCCCGTGGGGGGCCCCCAGGGGCTGGGAATTTGTGGGCTGGGTGAGCAGGGACAGGGCCTGGCCACTAAATCCCCAACTAGAGTCTGACTGGGCATGCCCATTGTTGGGGGTGGGGGAGGAGAGGAGAGGAGAGGTGAGCAATAGCTTTGTTCACCCCTATGCCATCATTGCTTGCCCTACCACTGCTGCTTTGTCCAGATCCAGACTGCAAGGAGCCCTGTGGCTCCTTGCAGTCTGGATCCAGCCCAGGAGTGCAGGCAAATTGGACACCCATGAGGCAGATGTATTCAAGAAATGGAGAAAAGAAACATTGCAAAGAGACACCCATGAGGCAGATGTATTCATCAGAAATGGAGAAAAGAAACATTGCAAAGAGACTTGCCCAGGGCAACAGAGTTGGTTGGTGGCAGCTCTGGCACTAGCACCCGCAGGAGGACCCCTCCTAACTGATGTCAAATTCCTTGTAAGCCTGGAGCACCCACCCAATATGGCAACATCTGGTCTTTGGCCCCTGGAGGGAGCGCCCAGCTCCCCACAATCCCTGCTTTGGCGTTCCAGGCGAGACCTTTGCTTCCCACATCCGCTGGGGCCCCTTTACAGGTAAGGCTGCTATTAAAAGCCACTTGTCTCAAGCAAACGCCTCTAGGATTTGCACTCGTGTCTTCAGACTTTTCCTAAGAAATGTAAACAAGTGGTGACTTTATCAGCCGCTTAGGAAATATCAGGGCGGTATCAGCAGACAAGCGTCAACTTGAACCCCTCTGTAATAATCTCCCTCCAGGGTGGGTGGGAGAAGTGGGAGCTGGGAACAGAGATGTTGATCTTTCTCTTTCCCTCCTCCCCTCAGAGCAGGGGAGGAGGAACATATCCCCTGTGAGGAGGGGGGGTGATAGTGGGAACCCTGCTCCTAGTAAGGGTGAGAGAGCTGAAAGCATAGACTAAGCCCAGCCCCACCCCCGGAGGGAAGGAGGGAGGGTAGGGAAGCTGGCATGCAGGGGAGTGGGACTGGAACGCACTCATCCCTAGCACTGGGCAAGAGAGCTGTGGGGGAAGCTGGGAAGAAGTCAAACCAAGGCACTTCACAGCCCCCAGCTGAGTCACCAGAGTGCATAAAACAAGCACAAGGCAATCAGAGCAGGCAGACGGGAGACACACGGCATCAGCACTCCAGGACAGGTAGGTGCAAGTGGGTGTCATGCAGGGGTGAGTGGCTGGGACTGGCCCTGGCACCAGCACTATACCTAGACTCCTGGCAGCTCCAGGCAAACTTTTAGTATTGGGCTCCCTTTGCCAGCTATAATGATAATAATAGTTATTATAATTTTCACCATTTTCGGGCCCCCTTTCTGTCCAGGCCCCGGGCAGCTGCCCTGCTTGCCCATGCCTGTATCCAGCCCTGCCTGGCACTGACATGTCTGTCTATAGCCATCTCCCTGTCTCGCAGGGTCCCTGCTCCCTGGGGACCGGTGCAATGGCAAAGGGCCCTAGGGCTGCCCTCGTGTGTTGAGGGGCAGGTTTTGCCCCTGGTGGGGGGGAGCACAAGGGTTGTTGAAGACAACTTCCCTCCCCACTCCCCTGTCTCATCCCCTGGGGGAGAGAGCAGTTGAGAGCCAAGGCCCCTGATCTCTTTGTTGTTCAGGAAAATGCTGGGCATGATTAAGGCAATGGAAATAATCACCAGAGCAGCACTGGGGGAGCACGCTGTACCCAAACCATCCACAGAATTACCTGCTCTTTGTCCTGGCACAGACCTCCTGCGTGACCCAGGACAAGCCACTTTGGGCCAGAATTTAAGAAGTGCCTGATGGGATTTTCTAAAGCACCCACTTGGGATCCATGGGCTTGGATGCTTAGATGCCCTAACATGGAGACAGGAACATTTCCCTCCCTCCCAGCAGTGTTGTGAGGTTGAATACATTCACAGCTATGAGGAATCAAAACTCGTGGCAAAGGTGATATCTTTTATTAGACCAGCTAGATATTTGCAAAAAAGAAGAGATCTTTATTTGCAAGTTTTTTAGGCACAAGTACGCTTCATCAGGCAGAGGAGATTGCAAGGATTATAAAAGTTCTCCTAGGTAGAAACTAAAATTCATATGAAATATGAAACCAAGATGGCTACAACCTGGATACCCTTCACAGCTATGAGACAGGCAGATGCTATTGGGGGTGGGGGGAGCAAAGTAAATGGCTATCTCCACACACAAGTGCAGCTAGTGGTTTGTGCCTCTCTTCCAGGGGAAGGGTGCCTGCCTGCCTGCCTGAATGGGCTAGGTAGTGGTATTATGCACAATCCAGTAATGCTTACTCTGGAGGCCACATTGGTTGAATGGACACCTGCATTGCATTAGACAGGCACAGCAAGGGAAAAGGGGGGGTGTTATGTTTAGAAGTCACTGTTGGGAGAAAGTTACACCCATCCAGGTCTGTCCTGGACAGTCACTGTAGAATGAGACAGGGAAAGCAAATGGTTTCATTTAATTGGAGAGGCTAATCCAGAGCCAGCTCCCACAGGGAGCTGAGCACCTCCTCAGAGGTGCAGAGTGACCCGCTGACATTTGCGTGCACTGAGAGCACTCCAGGATGAGGCCCTGCCAGGAAAAACCCCGCAGAGATGTGCCGAGACCAGAATGTGCGAGAGGAAGGCTGGAGGGAAGCTGTCTATTGCTCTGAAAGCGCTCCAGGAGGACAGTGCTTGGAGGAGGGAGGAGTGGTGCCCAAGGGTCAGTTGTGATGTAAGTCATCCTTCTCTCCCACACAAGGGCTCAGCACAAAATTCCCTGTTATTTTGACCTGGCCTGAAGGAGCCACCCCCAGGCTGTAGTTTTGTCTGGAGTAAGCACTATGTGTCTCACAGGAAACTAGTGAGGAGCTAAACCATAGGGACCCTAGGAAAACATTTTTGAGCTGGGAATTTCTAAGGAACACATCTCAAATAGAGAAAAGAGGCAGCTAAAGTGAAAGCAGAGAATGACTCTAAGCTTCTAGGTAACAGGTGCTGGGGACCTTGAGCTGAGGTTTCTGTAGGAGGAAAGGGTCTCTCTTGAGTTTTGGCCATTCTGATTCAGAGCCAGGTGGGCTTGTGGGTGCTCTGTAATAATTATGTATCAGCAGGACCCTTGCCTGCTGAAAGCCTCCAAACCTGGCACTGCTGGGCAAAAGGACATCAGTATAAAAGCCAAAAGGGTAGAAGCGGTGACGAGAGTGATCCAGAAACCCTAAGCAATGTAGGCCATGTCTATGCTCCAAACCGTTGTTGGTATAGCTCTGAGTGCAGTTCTGTCCCCTCCCTGCTAGAATTCCTGAAAATCCATGAATGCATCTACTTCGGGAACCCCCCATCATCCCCCCTGTAAGACTGAGTCACAAAAGAGCCACAAAGAGGAGGAGGTCCCACCTCCTCCTTTTGCATTCACTGTTTTTCAATTAAGTCTGAGCCAGGCTTTAGGAGCCTGACTTTCAATGGGACTTGAAAGTCAGGCTCAATCCACACTTAAAAGCTGTGCCAGCAAAACTGTGTTGGTGTGAAAAAACACACAGCCCTCATCTATGTAACTGCACTGGCAAGAGCCCTAGTGCAGTGTAGTTATACAAAAGGGTCCTTTTGCCAGGGTAGCTCAGTCTGTTCCAAATGCTTCTGCTGATGTAAGTTGTCTCTCTACTTCAGGCCTTACCAGCAAGGTCTTTCTAGGGCAGACAAGGTGCTTTTACCCACAAGCCACATTGAACATTGCTGGAATCTGTGCTCTTAAATCACTTTGGTGTTGCTGAAAAAGCCCCATTAAGAGCTTCCTTTTTTAACCCAATGAGGAGCCAGTGGCCTTCCAAGCCCTAGCTCCCCACAGCCTGGCCATCGCTTCTTACAGAGCAAGCCTCAGCAAAGCAAACATATTTGTTACCTTGCACTGGGGTCACCTAGAGATGAGTCCCTGCTTGCTCTGTGTCAAAATTAAAACTGTAACTGAATGCTGCATGAGACCAATGGTGTGACCTTGCTGTCTTTGAGCAAAATTATTAGGATACCTTAAGGACAGGCCTGCAGTGTGACTAGCATTAATTGCATTATTGGCTGAGGAGTCTTCCTCCCAGGCAAGGACTCCACAATGCTAGGTGCGCTGTAAACATAAAACAAATCATGGTCCCTGCTCCAAGGAGCTGGCCATCAAAATTGGCTGTGGCTTTCCCCTCACAGATTCAGCTTTGCACATACACTAGGTCAGTGCCATGGCAAGGAAGTTTGATGCCCGGGGGAAAGCCTGCAGCAGCAGCCCACTCTTGCCCCATGCACAGATCCAGGGGGCACACCCCCCACCCTCACCCCAATGCTTTTCCCAGAGTGCATGCAGCAGTGGGAGCCACCCTCCCCTCATCCCCCCAAACGAGCTGCTTGTGGCTACGTCTTGTGCCCTGCCCTGGCTGAGCAGCACCTGTTGGTGCCCCTTTGCTTTTGTGCCCAGGGCAGTCACCCCGCCTGCCCCTCCTTGCTATTGCACTGCACTAGGTAAAGAAGATAGTGCTGTACCTGTAAAACTTGTGATACTTTTTTGGCCTTTAGGGTGAAAGGTTTTTATGCACTGTTAAAAAAAAGGATCACATGAGAATTCCACCCCACAGGACTCCTTTTTGCTTAGCTTTAATTACAACAGAGGTGCTAATTATCACTTCCCCCAGCTTGATGCAAGAGGCAAACGCTTATCAGTTTAAAATAGCTTGTGACAGCCTGGAGGGATTTTAATTTATTTCTCAACATTGCTGTTTTTCTTTCCCATCCCTGAAAAAACAGATTTTGTGATTTAATTGAGCCACATTGAAGCAGAAGGATGTTTTCTCTCCTGCTCACCCTCTCTCTGCTGGTACTGATGGTGGCATCCAGCCCCACAAAAAGAGCAGAATCTCTGACGCTGGGAGATTTTATGAACATTTTCCTACTGGCCGAGGAAAGCTCATGGAAGACTGTAAATCTTAGTAGCATGTCCTGCGAGGATACGAGGAACAACACATGGACCATCTTGCATCTGACCAACCACAGCTTGAGCTCCTTTCCTGCCTGCTTGCCTGAGGTGGTGGAGACCCTAGACCTCAGCACCAACTTCCTGAGCATGCTGAATGGCACAGAGATAGTGAACTTGCCAAATCTGCGTATCCTCTCTCTGAGGCAGAACAACATTGAAGAAGTCATATGGGGAAGTGAAGCCCTCAGCAGTCTCCGAATCCTGGACCTAAGTTTGAATAAGTTGTCATCTGTGCCTTCATGCCAGGGCTCCTATCTGCCAAACCTAAAGTGGCTATCACTGGCTGGAAACCCCATCACTCAAATCCAGCCATGGGCTTTCTCCTGTTACCCACAACTGAAGTTCCTGAACTTGTCTGTCACTCTGCTAGGGCAAGACACTGGTGGAGGGATTAGAGAGTCCGCCTTTGCCATGAGGATGCTACCAGGGGACACCAGCAGAAGGCCAGACAATACCATCCATGTGCTTGATCTGAGTGGGACCTCTCTGGAAAGATGTAAGTCTTAAATATTTGTGATAAACATGGGGCCTGGTTGAGCTTGGCCTTGTTTTAGATGGTGGACAGCTTGGTTGATGCCAGGAGTAGAACTGGCAATTTCCAGAAGCAAGGCAGGAGCTGCCGCTGCTGGCTAATTGGAGCTGCTGCAGGCATGTCTCCACTCCTGATCAGGCCTGGGAGGGACCTCACGTGCTCCCCAGTTGTTATAAATTCCCTAGTATAGACAACCTTTTAGAAGGCTCAAAGGTTTCCCCTTCAGAGGGGAATCTAGAGGAATAGCTGTAGTGCAAACCTGGCAACTGAATGTGGCCACAAGAGAATTTCACATCCTTGCTCATAACCTCTCTCCCCACCCCCATGGACGTGGGTGGATCTAGGATTCTGGAAAGGGGGGTGCAGATGGTGTGGCGCATCATCCCATATAACACAACACATTTTCCCCAAGTAAAAAGAAACTAGAAGTTTACTAATATGCTAGGGGTTTAGGGCTGTATTATTCAGTTTAAGGTTGAGACACACACACATATAACTTCATTAGAATGAGTTAAGAGCAATCTGCAGGACTGACATAGGAGCTCAATTACCAGGAGCAGCTACAGACAGCAGAACTGAAGAACAAAGGCTAGCTGGACTGGTGGGACATCAAGGCCATTAAAAAGGAGAGGGTTGTTAACACCTGTGGACTAAAGAGTCTAGAAAGGATCAGGTAGATGAGGATGAGCCATGAAGTCAAGGGACTCCTCAGCACTGCCTGACTAGAAATGCTGCTGCCACTGCCAGGCAGTTGGTTTTAAATTTTGGGTGGAGCAGGAATCAAAAGGGATGCAAGTGCACCAGTGCACCCCCTTGGATCTCTCCCTGCCTGTGGGCAATAGCATTATCCTCTCCTATCAGCCAGCTCTCAGCCTTGGATTTATCTTTGATTCCTCTCTTCCCAGCCAGACTCTGTGAAAGCCAGCCTCTGGTTTTAGAGTCATATTTCTGGAATTAGCCTTTCCTTCCACAATTCCTACAGCTCAAGGCCTCACAGTGTTAGGCACTGTATATCTACATGGGGAGAGACAGTCCCTGCTCCAAAGATGTTACAGTCTAGAGAGACCAGGTAGAACAAAGAGAAGACTTCATCCCATTTTATAAACAGGGAACTGAGGCATGCAGAAATTAAATGACTTGCCTGAATCCCAGTCTGGTCCCTGAACTGCAGGGCTGTCCCTCTTCTCTAGGACAATCTTTCCTCTCTCTCTCTCCTGGACTCTTATCATATTTCATGAAATAAAATGGGTATAATAATTCCTCACTCAGTGCTTTGTGAACCATTTGTTAAGGACTCTGACAAAAGAGCTACAGAAGATCAAGGAAGTATTACAAAGATTTGCAGTGCTGTAAATCTACAATCATACCCAGCAGTTCCCTACTTGAGAGTCCAGCCACATTCCTAATAAATATGTCCAGCTCTCCATGCAGTGAGAGTACATGTTCTCCTTGACTACTTGGGAAATAACCCTCAGGAATATTTGCTTGTCAGTGAAACTCCACCCAGCGCCCACTACTTCTTGACAAGTCAGAAATCCAGAACCATCCTCCATTCACATACCAGTTAAAAATCTCTTCTCTGCTTCAGTACAACAGGAATGGACTCAAGACCTGCCCAACCTTAGGTCCCTCCATCTTACCAGGATGACCCGGTTGAGAAGCCTTGATACAGATCTCTTCAAGTCTATGCCAAGTCTGAGAGAATTGAACTGCCAGGACTCCCACATGCTGAGTTCAGTGAGGACAAAGATATTTGAAGACGCTCCACACCTGAGGTTCCTCATATTCCAAAAGTATGTTTCTTTTTCTCTATGCTCACATGCATGTAATTATTCCTACTTGCTGAAAGTGTTGTAGCCCTGAATGCAGGACCCCTTCTAGCCTATCACACACACAGAAGGGATGTTCCACCCTTTTCAGAGCTATTTCAAACTCTGAAGCATGGGGCAAATTCAGCTGATGCAGCTGAACTCAGATTTCCCATTCTGGGGGGTAGAGACTGTGTCCTTAAAGGCACCAGAAAGATGACAGATCTCCCCAGTGTGGGGAGAGTTCCTTGCTAGGGGAGAGTGGTACAGTATCTATTTATGGACTACAGCTTTTGGTACGATAGGGGCTTGCTGGGGAAGTGCAGCTGGAGTGCACTGCACTTCCAAGACTCTTGGCTGTCAGACAACTGCCTAGGAGCCATATTCAGCTGCTCCAGATTAGAGCAGCTATAAGGCTGCTATAGAACTGGCCCTAGGATCAAGGAGATAACTAGCTTCTTTGCTACACCCATTGGATACTGGGAGAAGCAGAGAACCTGGTTCCCATGAATGCTGCGAGCCAAAAACTGTATCATGGTACAGTGATGCCCTAAGTTTAGTTTAGGAGCATGCTGCAATTACTGGCATACATAAATGTATTGTGATTCCTGTACTGCTTCTGTCTCTGAGTGGATCCACACATTAGAAAAGCTTATTTCACTGAATCCTGAGCAGAGACACTGAAATATAAACAAGAGGAGAATCTGGTTAAGCATTAATGATCTGCCTGTTAATCACTCCCATCTTGAAAAATACCTGACCTCTCACACCTCCTCCCCTTGGATTTTTTAGCCTTACCCCTCTTGGTTTTAATGCTTTCACTAGACATTCGGAGGCTGCTCAACTGGAGATTTATGGGGCCAAATTTTGTGCTACTACATACAACTCCCCTGACTTCAGTTTCAAGGGTTGTGTCAGTAACATTCCTGGGGGACAACACTAAGACGTGCTTAAAACAGGAGCTTGAAATATCTGCATACAAAATCCACTGACTGCAAGAGAGGCTTAAAAATCAATGGGTTGCTACAAGAAAGGGGATGTTCTCCTTGTGCCATCTACTTTGAGACTTTTTAGGGTTCATACTGGGTAGTTATTTTAAGCTCTTCTATTCAGCTGTAAAGGCTAGAAACTGTTACCTTAATGGGAGCTAAGATCCTGATATCATCACTTGACTCTGGGATCTGGAGATTTAAGAAAAAAACTATTGAGAGAGACAAAACCATGAAAGTTAGCAATACTGTGGCTTGCCTAGGTCACACAGCAGGTCTGTAGCAGAATCACCATGGAGAATGGGGAGGCTTCCTGGTGCCCAGTCCTGCATCCACCCTCTAATGTACTAGACCAGCTGTCAGTAATGTTTTCTAGCGGTGTGCTGAAATGACCCAACTCAGGTCCAAGGAGGGCCAGAGCTAGGACCTGGCTGCTATCACTGCTCCTCCCCACTGCTCCTTCTCCCTGCTGCCCAGTCGCCCTAAGGGCAAAGTCCCCACCAGCTCCACAAGCCAAGTCCAATGGTCCCACAGGCCGGATCTGGCCTGTTGACCATAGGTTGCCAACCCTTGCACTAGACCACACTAATTTAAATAACTCATTGCCAGTGTCCCTAGTGACCCCAGTGTTAAAGCAGAACCTGGTACTAATTTGTGAAGTACAACTACTTCACTCAAGTAGCAGCAGGGCCTTAGGGATGTACCTTCTATGCATGGTGGAAGGTTATATGTATATGGCAGTGCGGCTGAGAGATACAGGGATTTGGGGATAATAGAGTTCCTTGTTCAATGTTAGATTAAAGGAACTTTTTGATTCTTTGCCAGAAGCGAGCCACACTGAAAATACATTTTGCTCCACTTACCCAACTGGTTACACAGCAATTAATAATTCCTGGAGACAAAGCTATAAGCTTGAAGGCAATTTGCCAAAATAGAGACTACATTGCAAAGAAAGCAGTCAGCGCTGATTAATAAAAGGATTGGGGGATATTGAGGAAAATCATCTAAGATATCAGCACAGATTATGAGTCTTGCAGAAAACAAAGTGGTGGGGGGGAGGGGGAGAAACCAATCCTGGGCACTGGCTGTATGAAAGGAGGACAGAATACAAGCTGTGAGCAAAGGGAAGACCAGGTTCTGCTCTTGGACACACTGCTGCACTTGAGAACAGAACTGACACAGTATCTTACAGAACATGTGCAAACCCCCTGCCTCACAGATCTGATGCTCTACTTGAGAAGGAAAGAGCACTAGACATATCAGGCCCATGAAGATGTGGTGGTATCGGCCATGGTGTCAACCGCAACCTTTCAAAAATCATGAATTGTACTTAAAAATGGACCTGGCTTAGAAATCATGAGATTTAAAAAATGCACTGTAAGTGCTTTTTCTTTGCTACAGGCTTCTAAACATTTAGGATGGACTTGAATTGCATTTTCAAGCATTTCTTGAAAACCTTTCTGAAAACCTCACCTGTTCTTGTAAATTAAACTGAGATTCTCCTATAATCATACGCAAATCGAGATGTTGAACAGGGAGATGCAGATGGTGAGCTGCGTCATCATATGTAACACAATACACATTTTTCTCCAGATAAAAAGAAACTAGAAGCTTGCTAATATGCTAGGGCCCTAGGGCTATATTATTCCAGTTAAAATTGAAACAAAAACAAACATAACTTTCTTGGACAGTGCATTACCTTGCTATATCATAAATTATGTATAAAACCCCCCCCACAACAAATTAGGCAAAAAATAATCAAAAGATGTCGTTTCTTTAGTCCCGTGGTCATTAGAATTAAATCTCCATTTTGTTCAGATTCATAAAACAATATCTAGTCTTCGTGAGCATGTTGACTGAAAATTATTTCAACACCTGAGATGATGTTTTCACATCTGAGTAAATGTTTTTAGCTAGGGAAAAACAGTCTTCAGGGCTGTGAAGCAGGAGCTACATTATTAGGCAGAGCCAGAGGACAGCAGAATTGCAGAGCATCAAGACCATTAGAAAAGGACGGAGAGATGTTAAGACCTGTGGTAGATTATAACGAGCCATGAAGACAAGTCACTCCCTCACTGCTGCCTGAAAGGAAATGCTACTTCCACTGCCAGGCAGTTGGTTTTAAACTTTGGATAGAGCAGGAGTAAAGGAAAGCATGAGACTACACCACTGCACCCCGCTGGATCCACCTGTACCTATAATCACCTGACTTTGGATGCTGGGACTTTGGGAAGGATACCAAGTATCATGAGATTTGCCAACACTGCATTTGTGAGACTACCAATGAGAGAAAGGATACAAGAAATGCAAAAATTACATTGCAATTTCAAACACAAAGAGATGAAAGGATCAGGCGACTACATCATGAACAGGGGTGGAAGAAGCTGTGGAAGCAGACATGAATCCAAGTGTTAGAAGAAGAAAACACAGTTTAATTAGGGTTGCCAACTCTGACTGAAGCTATTCCAGGAGATTTTTCCCCCCCCCAACATGACATACTGTCCTTAATTGTACTGTTCAACCCATTCACAGTATCAGTCTCCTGGGTTGCTTTCAATAGTCACCAGGAGATTGATACTGATTCCAGTAGTCTCCCAGCCAATCTGGGAGGTTTGGTAACCCTAAATTGAATGGAGCAGACCTCTCAAGAGTGGAGGCCTTTTCCTTTCCAGCTGCAATCCCAAATGCATTCTTGTTATGAATAACTTTATGCTGCTGCAGGGAGTGAATCATAGCTGGGATAAATAGCATCAGGCTGATATAGAGGTACAAGCCTGGGTTTTATTAGAGCAGGGGGAGGGAATTAGTAATCTGCTAGCGCTATGGGTTGATAGAAGATTACTGTCCCCTCAGGGAGCAGGGAAGGCTGCAGGTCCTCTCGTTACACAGAGTTGTTAACACAGTCCAGCCCTTGGGCCCTAGCCAACATGAGTTCATTATGATCCTGTTTCTCAACTCCTAGCTGTAACCTGAGTTCTTTTGATCCCTGGAATACCAGTTCATCAGAGAGCATTGTCATCAACCTGTCTGGAAATCCTCTGCAGTGCAACTGTAAGCTTTCATGGCTGCTCTCTGATCCTGCAAGTATTGTTCTGGAAAGGTAAAGCACCTTATACACCTGCATGCTGCGTGCATTCAAATAGATACAGCCCTGGCCTTTTCATTGAGATTTTTTGCTGCAAACTATTCACAGACAAGATTCCTTTCCTGTCCATATTATCCATATTCCTTGTCTGTACTTACCCTTCTCCAAGAATGCAACGAAATTTGGGCTAATTATATCTGAAAGCAACAATGCCCTATTAGCAGAAGCAAAACTGGAAAATGATGTCACCTACAGATTCCACTTTAGGAGCTAGATAATTTATTCTCTGCCTCCACACTTAGTAATTTTTTTTTCTATTAGTGCAAATAAAATATGAATTAGATCAGCAACCTGAAAGGTGCTGTGTCCTGCCAAACAGGAGATCAGCAGTCAAGTCTGCAGCTCCTCAGCCAGCAATGGCTAAGAATATCATGGAACAAATTACACAGCACTCAATGCTGCCCCTCACTGTCATTTTAGCTGGGGAGACTGATCCTTTGAAATGCTGTATATGCAGTGCCACCACAGGAGGTGAATAGCCTCCCAGTCATGGGATACTTGCTGCACCTTGCAAAAAAAGGAGGTAGCCAAGTTGACATGATGAGGGAAATCACCCTGAAAATACAAAAGTATAATCAAGAATTTGCCTGGCTCTGGGCCTAGATTTCATACTTCCCAGGGAGAAAGCAGGGGTCTGAATGATATTAGCAAAGGGGTGGGTGAAAAAAAATACCCCACAGGCTGGATCTGGCCAGCCAACAGATTTGATTGTTCTGCCCAGCAGCATCAGCTGCGGACCTAGGAGGGGGTTTCATGGTGCTGAGTAGGCGGTGATGTCAGCTGTGGGTGCTGCCGGCAGGTTCAGGAGCCCTGATGCAGAACATGCTGGCGGCGTCCATAGCTGATGCCACTGCCCTCCCAGCAGACAGAAGCTCCTTCCTGGAGCCCTGATCCAGAACCTGCTGGCAGCATCAGCTGTGCACACAACCAGCAAGTTCTGCATCAGGGCTGCAGAACCCACTGGCTGTGGCCACAGCTGATGCCATCACCTGCCTGCCGCAGTGGTAGTCCTCATCTGGATCTACAGCTGAGCGTCAAGGCTCCTGGCAAACTACAGTTCTGGCTGGGTTATGGAAGGGGGGAGGGAGAGGGAGAGGAAGAGAGAGAGAGAAGAGGAGGTGGCCCTTGATGAGTCACCAAAACTTAAGTGGCCCTTCAGCTAAAATAACTGCCCACCCCTGTATTAGCAGCTTATTAATGGGGAAGAGTTGGAGGGGTTGGCAGTGCCTTCCAATAACTTATGTCTTCTTACTGGTTTGTTTAATCTCCTAGGAGAGCAAATACAACTTGCAACACAGCCCCAGGAGACAGAGATACGCCATCATCATCTCTGTCACTGTTACTGCTCTATGATGAGTGCCAGTCGAGGAGAAATGACACGCTCCTAGAGTCAGTAACTCCTTTTCACAAAGACAGCCCTTTGCACTTCACTATTAATAACCCTACCAGTGCAGCAATGCTGACAGACCCATCTCTGGTCCCCTTAGATGTGGTGAGTGATGCCATTATATCACAAAGCACAGTTGGCGTGACAGGGATGGAGCTAATGAAGGAGAAGCCCACACATGGCATCCATCCTCTTTACAGGGAGGAAACATTTTCCAAATCTGTTGACAGCCCTTCTACTGTAGCACCAGAAGCTACCTCTTCAGACATCCTGGAGGAGCTTTCTAGTAATTCCTTTATGGAGCACAACACCGTGAGTACAACTCAAGCAGATCAATTGAAGGAAAATGCCACAGTAGCCATTAACCTTTTCCACGAGGTAAAACTTCATCAATTTACTAATGACCCTTCTACTGATGTGAGAGTTACAGACTCTCCGATGTTGCTCAGTGAACTTTCAAAATACTCCTTAACTCCACAGAATACCATAAACACATCTCCAACAGACCAACTGCAGCAAGGCTCTTTCAAGGCAAAATCTAACCCAGATCCTACACAAGCTGAAATACCAATACGCTATGTAGAGGACTATGAATATGAAGATGAAGAAAAGGAGGCTGCAACTCAACCAGCACATGTCCTTTGTGACTACAATCCTTGCAAACACCTCCAGAAACCATGCTCTGAACTTCAAACCTTGTCTTCATGTCTGTGTCCTGGAGTGTCTGGAGAAGACACTGTCCCTGATTCCCCAAGGCTCAGAGAGGTGTCTGAAATTACAGACACCTCAGCCCTGATCCACTGGTGTGCTCCAAATTCAGTTGTAAATAGCTACCAGCTAGTATTCCATGCTGAAGGTAGTGAGGAAGGCCAGATATCCTTCAATGAGATTTACACCACTGCGAGGCAGCACACACTGTATAAGCTGTCACCAGACACCACCTACCAGGTCTGTGTGATTGCTTTGAACAAAGCAGGAGCTAGCCAGAGAGAGAAGAGGGTCTTAAGCAATCCATGCACCCAATTTAAAACAAAGCCCAGTTACAAAACCATCCTGGCTGCCTTGTCTGCAACAAGCGGGCTTTTTCTCCTTACCACCATCATACTGTCTGCGTGCCTCTGTAAGAAATGCAGAAAGCCTCAAGCTGAGCAATATGGCACACACCTCGTCTCCTACAAAAACCCAGCATTTGATTACCCCTTGAAACTGCAAACATACAATTAGCCCCAAGCTCCTTTGTTGACAACTTTTGTAGTAAAATACCTTATAACAGCACATCTCTAATTGGTATCCAATTGCCCCCTGGGGTTTATTTTTTTTCATAGGGCAGATTTAACTCCTGCTGTAAGGCCACTGGCATTAAGTGGATTAGACCAGGGACACTAAGTGGATCTCAATGCTTTAGCTTTGTTGTGAGAGACCCCCACCTAGCCTCTTGTTTCCCAGGTCTCCACTTTTCTTCCATTTCCAAACAGCAGCTGTGTTTTGAGTGGTTTCTTATTTTGTAGTCATATGTAATTATTCGCCTGGGTCCTGAAAACCCAGCAGCGATTTTAAAACAGTGTGTGTGGTGAGGGGCAGCAATTAGAGTAGCTTAGGAGGTAGATGCACAGTCCTATGGTTCTTTGAAGTGGGTGCTTATTTAACCTAGTCTAAGATGGCATTGAAGTGCCCAGAAAAAAAAGCCTTGATAGGAATAACCCCCAGCATCCATAGAATACCTTTCATCTGCAGCTATCAAAGAGACCTTTGACAAAGAGGTAGATAGACTGAAGACTAGGATGGACAATTACGATCATTTTGTCTGACTTCATCAGAGAGATGATAACAGATTCCACAGAGTGAAATGTTTCAAGACCTGTAAATGCCAAAGAGAAACAACATCCAACCTTGTCACGTTCATCCCCAGATTTTTGTGGAAAAAATAAGACACAAAATGACTTGTCCAAGATTTTAAAAGGCCCTTAGCGCCTACCTATACTTGCAGCTAGACACTTAAAGGGAATTGCAAAGCACTTACTGGTGCTTGCTTGGCTTTTGGGATCTGATTTTGAACAGTTTTAAGCACTATGTGTAGATCTGTACAGCATCCCCACTGGGTCCAGGGGAGACCCACATGCTCAAGCCCACCCTACTCTCCTATTTGCATGCCTCAGACCCAGAAATGAGGCAGTGAGGATGTTCTGGATGCACTGTGTGTGGCAGCTTTCAAGTACACTAAAGACAGAGGTCCAGGGAGCAGCTGTAGGGAAGGGAGGCTTTTCTTGCTGCATTTCTGGGTTTGGTGTATGTGAGGAACAAGAAGATTTAACAAATACAAATACCTTAGAGCATAAGCTCCTTGGGATAGAGGCCTCCTTGTTTGTTCTGTTTGTACAGGGATTGGTACCCCTGGTCCATGAGTGAGGCTCATGGCACTACCGCATTATGAATAATAATAAAAAGGAAGAAGATTGCACAGAGCCTTCAAAATAGCAGTGGAACAAAGTAAATTATCATGTGGTTCACAACTGCCCACCAATCCGGTACTGATTAGTGCCTGATGCCTCAGTCGATCCAAGGATTTAATAGAATAGTCATTTATTTGGGGTTGATCCAGCCAGTCATTGGGAGGCAGGTGGCCAAACACTAATGCAGTCTACTGGGTATAAGCACTATAATGTTAAGTAATGAGATCCTAGCCACTCCTGATGGAAAGCCAGGCTAGGATTTTCAAAAGCACATAAGGGATTTGGATGTCAGTTCCTTTCATTTTAATAGAAACCAGCATACAGATCCCTGACAGAGTCTGGAAAAATCTCAGCTTTGAAAAGTCCCAAAATCTTTTTCACAAGACAATCCTTGTCAAATGTTTGTCTCACTGTTGTTACTCAAGGTCCCGTGTCTCATGCTTCTTCCCAGAGATACTGGACAGATATAATCTATGGACCTTTGAGATCCTGAAGAATAAAAGGTGCTCTATAAATGTACAAGTGTCTATGTTCTGTTAGGCAGACAAGGTTCTTTGGGTGAATCTGATATCTTTTATTAGACCAACTAAATAGTTGGGAAACAATGCACCCCTGTATGTTCTGTTAGTTATTTTTAACATGGGAGGGAAGGGAAGGGGAAAATCACATGCCCTGTATTAATAAAAATAAAATGCAGAGCAATGATGAAATAACCATAGCATGGTTTTTGCTTTAAAGTCAACACACCTATCCACTGACAAGACTGAGACAGTCACGTCTGTGACGTGGAGTCTGAGGTGCTAAGTGCATCCCTTTTCATGAGTTTTTTTTTCATTGATACTACTGGATTTTTGTTCAAAAAAAAAAAAAAAAAAAAAAAAAAAAAAAAAA